AAAAAAATTGGCATAATTTCCTGGCCCCGGGGTGGGGATTGGTGGGGTAGGGGTGAATAAACATGCAACTGTAACCTTCTGATCAACTTCTGAACTGTTATTGATTAAAAATTTTGAAACATCTGGTTTTTTCATAGGGGGGTACTTTTTATACAGGGGGGGTACTTTTTGGTAGGGGTATAAAAAGTATCCGGACACTTTTTATTCTGCATAAAAAGTATCCGGATACTATTTAAGCAGGAGGTACATTTTATGCATGACACCGGGCCCCTCTTAATTTTTTTATTGACTTCAAATTGCTGAAATGGCCCACTGCTCTCAATTTCTAGGATTTTCCCTGCCCGAGTGAAACATTATTAACCTAAGAGAAACAAGAAATAAGATATGACAGTTGCTGTGTATAATGATTATATAACAGATGCACACATTCCCAGAATGCATTTCAAAATTGTTCATCCTTCTAAAATACTAGAAAACAGTCAGATTCTGAACATATGACAATATTAAGTGTATAGTATTTATTTTGATTGATAACTAGTGTACATGGTTGGATAGGAGGTGTATCATTTCAAAAATAGGTAAAAAAAAGATGTAGGAACTTTTGTAAGAGGAACCACTAAATACAGTGAATATATATTATATATATATATATATATATAGGAAGTTTCATTTAAATATTCTCATTGGTTCATAAGTCAGAGAGCTACGTTGCTTCAGATAGGAAAACCGTACATGTTATTATCATGTAACATTAAATATACAAACCTTTGGTCTGTTAATCTGTAAATCTTTTCCTAAATCTTGCTCACATCTTGGCATTCATGGCTTTCACATATATATCTGAACCTGAAAATAAATAAATGACACAATTAAGCATACTACTTCCTGTAAAATCCTAATATCAAAAGGCAAAGCCTTAAAGGAGCGTAACTTTTGTTGATTTCTGATATTTACTGATTCAGAATACTGCTTTCAGAATGAGTTCAGAATGAGGTAAGATAAACTTTATTTAAAGTCGGCAACTCGAGGAATAACAATAAAACAAAAGCTCTAATGAGATTAAGACCGACATAACAATAGGGGAGATAGGAACAAGTTTGGCCCTTTTTTTAGGTATGCAACGTCAGATTTTACCGCCAATTTTTCGATTTTTTATGTATCACAATGTACATGGGCCAAACTTGCCACGGTTTCATTGTCAGAAACTGTCCGGGCCCAAATCGATATTTCAATAAATTCTTATCGTAAAGCAATATGGTAGTGAGTGATTGGCTTGGCTTTGCTTTTAAGTATATCATTTGAAGTAGTCAGTATGTTACACATTTGACCGTAAAAAAATACCAATTCCGTTAACAGAAAGTTCGCATAACTAGAAGTGAGATCATGGTTTTATTTAGATACTACCCTCTCAAAAGTAAATTTCTTATGTTTAGTAATTTTACACTAGAGTTTTTCTTTCCCTTTTTTTCTTGTGAACGCCCAGCCAACTAAACTGCTAAGATCCTTACAAATGTAAATATCGGCTCAAAAACAAAAATATTAGGGGTGGCCGAACTTGCCCCTGTCTCCCGTATGTAGATTTTTTGTATCGTTGATGGTTGGTAAAAATGTATTCACAATATAATTTTTGCATCAATGACGCCTTTTTCTTCCAGTCAAAGCTAAAGTAGATATTTGTTCTTGTGCGTAACGTATATGATTGGTCGGTTTGCGCAGTGGATAGCATGCTCGTCTTCACCAAGATGGCCGGAATCTTGCCCGACCACGCGGGGTTTATCCTGATACTCCATCTTCCTCCTACATTAAGGATTAAATCATCTGCGTACTTCCGTCAGGGCACAATTATTGTTGATTTCGACATAAATGAATTATCCATTGATTCTTTTATGAGTGGTGATGCATACATAAATTATGTAAAGACTATATTTCGTTCATATTCTCAACAAATCAAAATCAAAAGCTGATGAAATTTTAGACGATGAAAAATAAATGTACACGTTGACCTATTGGTTTAATGCGGCTCTTTTTGAAAATATCTCCCGGTAGAAATTTTAACATAACATGGTTGATGACAAAAAGGATCTTCAGAAAACATCCGCGTTTTTACTTTTTGTGCATGTGGCAAAAACTGAAATTAAAAAGTCATGAAGCACCGACAAAGAGATAAATGCAACGGCTATCAGTTCCAAGATTTTCCGGTTATTTTTCATCCTTCCGGAAATAACCGATTAAGGCCGATGGAGTGTGACATGCTTGTGACGTCTTAGTATGATAATCTCTGCCTGCTAGTATCTTTATGTGATAGATTGTTTTCACTCAGAATGTATATTAGTTTTTATCTAAATAAATAAGTTATAAAAGATGTTCATTTATGGGTTGAAACACAATTGTCTTTGCTTCAAGGATACACTTCCTGTTTCCCTACTGGACGTCTACCTCCGGATGAAATTTTTTAAAGGCAAGGTGTAGAAAGGGGAAGCAACTCTGTTTACGCACGCATGTGTTACCATTATATAAAGAGCTTCGCTCGGGCGCCTTTGACGCCCGAGAGCTACGCTCTTAATATATAACACTTTAGAACATAAAACTGTAATAGTGTATATTACTGTGAAAATTATTTAACAACATATTTACCAAGTTTGATATCCTAATATTTTCGATAAGGCCAATGAAATACCAGGTAAAAAAAAACACTTGTGTTTCCGCTATCCCTACCTACCCTGTATTTAGTGGTATACACTGTTAAAGCCAGAACTCGTACTCTATATAAGCAAAGTAAAATACTTTCCAAAAAAAAAATATGCCTGCCTACCTATTTACCCTATTTTCTTCTGAGGATGATAGAGGAAACACTGTGGCAAGTAAAAAAAATTGGCCTATAATAATAATTGTTTCATCATAACAGCCAAACTCTGACAAATATGATGACTTTGATTTCCTGATAGTTAGGAAACATTTTACTCTTGAATACATGCATTCACACATGAGGGATAAATCTAGAAAATATTTTCAATTAGGAACATTTATTGGAATACTTTTTACCCTTTATACTATTATTTCTTCTGATTCGGCCAAGTTATCGGCCATGTTATCCCTGATTAGTATCCATTGTAACTCCATTAATGATAAAAAAAAATACAAACAACATCAGCTACAACAACAACAAAAGGAAATTATTTCATTTCTTATTATTTTTGTGCACCAAAAATAATCTCAATTCATAAGAAAATGTGATTCAATCCCTGAGCCGTTGATACAGGCTACATCCATTAAAGACTTTGAATTTAGTTTGGACAATCATTGGAAACATCTTGAACTGAAATTTCATCACCAAAATGTAGCTCAGGCTACTGTACCAATCTACCTATGAGAGTGACTTTTAAATGAAATTGTTATTTTATATGATATGGACCTGTATGTCATGTATCTTATTAAATTAACTGTGGACAAAATATCATCTTGAATTTTGCAAGGATCAATACAAAAGTAATAAAAGCATTCTATCAAGTTCACAATTTGAAAATGCTAGTGTAACAGTCAAGGAATAAAAAACGGAAACTATAATGCCTTGATGGGAAGCTAGTTTTCTACTGATGCAGTATATAATTTACCCTTGGATGAAGCTCACTTAAGTTCAGCAACGTCCTGATGGGTGCCCCCTGACCTGCATATGTTACATTTAAACATTTTGTGGCAGTGAAGTGATCCTGTGGTATCTTGTAAGGCCAGTTGCCGGTGTTTAGAAAGGGTGCATCAGTACAAAGGGAGGACCCACAGGATTCCCAAAGCCAAGTCTTGGGACATAACTCAGCAGACTTTTTTGAGGGGGAAATTAGTGTACCAGCCAAATGCAAGGAATAATTTACGAGGAGGAATATATTGCTTTACTGGCAAGTTTAAGCTGTTCCTGCAATGCTACATATCTCTGAGATGCACTCATTACTTCAGCAATGTCAAGCCTGTTAAGTGGCTGGATGGGTGCATGCCCACCTGCAGCACATTACACAATTGCCTGTTCGTGCATGTTAAGATGACAAGTATTATACATGTATGTATGTATGTACTTGTTGTTAACACAAAACTTTAAATTGGAAAAAAATATGTAAGAGAATTAGATGAAGACCTTGACATATTGAAAAGAAGAGTAATTCCTGGTGGTGATGTTAATGGCTTTGAAAAAGCCACATGGAAGATATAGGATAAAGTAATTCCTGTAGGAACTCTATCTAAATCAGTGATTTATAACGATAGTTATCGATAAAGGTCTATCGTTATAAATCTCTGATTTAGATAGAGTTCCTACAGGAATTAAGGATACAGCAAACATTAACAGTTATTGACGTGTGCAGCTGCAGATTAGGAAACATACAACATGAACGGAATTCCGCTGGAGAAAGTTACCAGATGAGAAAAAAATAATACGGTTGACAGTCTGTTATTTTTATAAAAGTGAAAGTAGATATTGGTAACTAAATATTATCAAGAGTTACAGTACCGTAGTCATAATCCAAGTACGTTATATTAACTAAGTCACATATGTACCTGTTGTCACATATTAACTTCAAGTAAGATTTGCGACAAATCAATCCTATCTGTAGACCTCCATTCTTCTTTCTATTGGTTTCTAAAACGAAACTGCTTGTTTCGGGAATTCCCTATGTGAATCTAAAAGAAGAAACGATTCTGTTCCGGATTTTATATTTTCGGATTAATGTACTGTAATACATGGAGAATAAGTGTATGTGAATCCAAATACATTAAACTGGACTATATACAAATTTTGTGTCTGACATTTTTTTTATACTTTTACTTTTGAGTTAATATAGCAAATACATGATTATTTATAAAATTTAAGGTTTGTTCGGAGTACCTCGGATCGGTTCGTATTTTTAGGACAAATCGTTAAAGGGGCTCCGAATATAAGTATCCGCGGGAAACGACATTTTAGCGAAATTAAAGCGAATCATGGACCAAACAAAATACGAAGAAGACAACAGTAAAAACTGCGTTCTCGATTCACCTGTACCAGCGTGTGCTAAGTCAGAGCCATGTTATCTAGGGATAGACGAAGCTGGCAGAGGACCAGTCTTAGGTGAGTTTGATTCTGTGGATATTTATTTTAGCTGGTGCACAGGTGATGAGCGTACATGTACATTAATATTGTACATGTCATGTAGTAGCTGCGATAAGGTAGCTTTCTGACGACGAGAGATTTTTTTTATATAATGCGGGGAAGAGGAGGACGGGTATTAATATTAGTACTATAGTCATGTAGCTGCACAAGTTTGGTCCCAGCTCTCAATTACATTTTATCTGATTAAAATGGTTCGATTATGTCCCTGCGTAAAAATGTCATTTTAATGTGCTTATTGAAGCGGACCAGCAAATATGTAATAAGCCTTATATAATTAGCTTGTAGATCAAAGTACTAAAATGTTTCAAAGTCAAGCATAATATTCGAATTCTATGTGGATGTATATATAGGAACATTTGAATGAGAGGAAAAAGAAAGCCGGACGCTGTTCGAGCCCCCGGGACCATCCAAGCTCAAATGGGACATACAACTAATTGAGCTACATACTCTATACCTGTTCACTGTTAATACTAACTCAATAACTAGAGGGTGCAGTCGCCTTCTTACTTCTCATTAGAGGGTGCAGTCCCCTTCTAACTTTTCACTAGAGGGCAAAGTCCCCTTCTAACTTCTCACTAGAGGGTGCAGTCCCCTTCTAACTTCTCACTAGAGGGTGCAGTCTCCTTCCAACTTTTCACTAGAGGGCAAAGTCCCCTTCTAACTTCTCACTAGAGGGTGCAGTCTCCTTCCAACTTCTCACTAGAGGGTGCACGCAGTTCCCTTCTCACTTCTCACTAGAGGGAATTTCCCTTTCATTTGGTAGAAGAGCAGGCTGGGAAGCTGGGATAGGGGTCGTTTGATCCCCTGATGGAAGCAATGAAACTACTCTCTCCCTTTACATGTCAATGTATATAGTGACCACCAGATCTGGACTACTGATCATGGTTACATGGAAATTTGTCATGGGAATGTTAGGTATACACATATACCATGGCCAGGGAATCTTATGCTTATTGTGCATGATGGTAAATTAAATCTCATTGTTGAGGTCTGAATATTTACAGTGATCATTTTGGCCCAATGTCAAAAAGAGATGTAACTTTAGTGGGTAAAAGTGGGTTAGTTAAATTTTATTGCAAGACAAAAAGGTCATGTTTTAATCAAAAGGTAATGTTTAAAAAGATTAAATTAAAACACCACAGACTTATACAACCAGTTCCATGATAATGCTAACAGATTCTTTCATTATGCCATTAATATTTCATTGCGTAAATAATCATATCCTGTCCAGATATTTTGTCTAAGGCACGAGTTGTGTACAGAAAGTGATAATTTATTCTCCGGCATACCATGTATACATTGTAACCAAAAGGCCTCCATTTTTTGTTCCCAGGTCCAATGGTGTATGGAATTTGCTATAGCCCAGTCTCCATGAAAGAAAAGTTTGGAGAAATGGGGTTCGCAGGTATGTTAATTTACTCACCATCCACATACAGTAGCAATATAGATAAACAATGTGAACAGATTTTAAATCCCCCCACTATTTTATGGGGGTAGGGTGGCGCCATCCATACTGGGGATGCTTCCTGGATACTGGGGGGGGGGGGGATGGGCATATATAGTGTAACCAATGCCCAACCTGTTCTGAATCAATGATCAACATTTTTAACACTCTAGTGATTCTGCTTACTAGATTGATGCTAAAAATGTTAGAAAAATAAGTTAAATATTAATGATTGAGCTACAAGTCCACTTCATAATGTGAAAGTATTTGTTATAATTCATAACAACTTAAAAAAAAAATAACAGTCACTCAGTGACATAAGTCCTACATGTACATGTCTTTGTGGTTCATTCAATTTTCAGATTCAAAGACATTGACGGAGGAACAGAGGGAGAAAATATTTGAGCGGATGGACAAAGAGACGGACACGCTACTGGGCTGGGTGGTGGAGATTCTGTCTCCTACATACATATCCAACAGTATGCTGAGCAGGTAACTTTTATTAATCTCAGTGACCATGACAGTTGATTGATCAAACAGAAAATCAATTAATGTGTTTCCTCTAACCTGATCTTACTTTCATATCTTTGTGCTGACCCTGCAGTTCTTATTTTCATATTCAAGGCATGATTCAGTAAATTCAGGTTTCGTTCATTATACAAAACTTAAATTCATTTAAACTAAAACGTAAATGAAGAAAAGAGACTTTTTCCTGGTTTTTTCGATTCCCCCATATTGTGACCTGTGTGCTTCCACGCTAGCTAGCCAGCAAGAGCGATTAATATAAGTTGATAAAACTTCTTTTAGAAATGTTGCAACTTAAAAATCTGTTCCATAATTGTTGTGAAATAAGTAAAATTTCATTTTAGTCTCATTTGGTTATAGTACTGTAATATGTATATTTGATAAAACGCTGATGTGATAACTAGATTTTAACTTTGAAAGTTTTAAAATATGTTCATCTTTCAGGACAAAGTACAATTTGAATGCCCTGTCACACGATTGTGCAATCCGACTGATACAGAATGCTCTTGACAAAGGCGTGCATGTCACAGAGGTAAATAAATATTAAATTAAATAATTGGTTACTGAAAAGTACTATAAGTATGTATAGTAAAATGTAGCTTTAACAGTATATCTAGCAAAATGCAAACAGATTTACAAATGAGAAGCAATATTAACGCATTGACCCCTGAAGACGCATTTGAACTCTTCCTATTCAAAGGTTGGAATAGTTCATTATGAAATTTCAGGGGTGAATGAGTTAAATGATGCCTCCACATATATTTATGTATTTTTTCTTTCGGATGTTTTGTTATCAAGTATTAGGGATGTGACAAAGCTAAATATATAGAGATCAGAAGGATAGACTTACACTTAGGCAATTCGGCTGTTTTGCTGACATTTTTGCCATTTTGGTCACTGCATGATGATGTTAGTAGATTAGGAGTTACTCCCCCTTGTTCACCTGTGTTGGACAAGGGGAAGTAGACCTGGCCAAGTAGGTTATTATATATAAGCCCCCTGTTTTCTCATCTGGATGGTTTCTTTTACTTTTCTTAAATGTTGATTGTTCACCCTGTCCGAGATCTTAGCCTGTTCTCCCTTTCCGAGATCTTGGCCTGTTTTCCCTGTCGGAGATCTTGGCCTGTTCTCCTTGTCCCAGATCTTAGTCTTGTCTCCCTGTCCGAGATCTAAGCCTGTTCTCCTTGTCTGAGATCTTAGCCTTTTCTCCCTGTCCGAGATATTAGCCTGTTCAAGATATTTGCCTGTTCTCCTTGTCCAAGATCTTAGTCTGGTTTCCCTGTTAGAGATCCTAGCCTGTTATCCCCATCTCACTGTCCATGATCTTAGCCTCTTCTCACTGTTCGAGATCTTAGCCTACTCTACCCATCCACGATCTTAGCCTGTTTTCCCTGTCCTAGATCATAGCCTGTTCTCCTTGTCCCAGATCTTAGCCTGTTCTTCCTATTCAAGATCTTTGCTTGTTCTCACCGTCCATGGTCATAGCCTGTTCTCACTGTCCCAGATCTTAGCCTACTCTACCTGTCCAGGATCTTAGCCTGTTCTCACTCTCCTGATATCTTAGCCTACTCTACCCATCCAGGATCTTAGCCTGTTCTCCCTGTCCCAGATCTTAGCCTGTTCTCTCTGTCAGAGATCTTAGTCTGTTCTCACCATCCAAGATCTTAGCCTGTTTTCTCCATCCAAGATCTTAGCCTGTTTTCTCCATCCATGATCTTAGCCTGTTCTCACTGTCAGAGATCTTAGCCTGTTCTCCTTGTCCTAAATCTTAGCCAGTTCTCCCTGTCCTAGATCTTAGCCTGTTCTCCCTGTCCTTGATCTTAGCCTGTTCTCCTTGTCCTAGAACTTAGCCTGTTCTCCTTGTCCCAGATCTTAGCCTGTTCTCTCTGTCAGAGATCTTAGTCTGTTCTCACCATCCGAGATCTTAGCCTGTTCTCATTGTCCCAGATCTTAGCCTGTTCTCCCTGTCCGAGATCTTAGCCTGTTTTCCCTGTCCTAGATCTTAGCCTGTTTCCAGTCTTTTACATGTGCAAAAACATTCTAAGAGTCTTAGTTTAAGATCAAATTTTGGGCCAGGTGGTAGCTAATTATCTATTGACCCATCCCACTAGTCACAAAAAGAAGAAAGTGGCAAATTAATGATAGGTATTATTAAAGTTTTTTTTTTTCCAAAACTCTTTACAGTTTTAATTGAGATATTGATAACAAAATTCAATAAAAAAAAAAAGCTGGTTTGACGTTACAGGATATATTTATCATTTGAATTTATTTCTATTGTGCCTAATTCTGCAGGTATACGTGGACACTGTAGGAGATCCAGTCAAATACCAGACAAAGCTGAAACTACTGTTCCCCGAGATAGACATCACTGTGGCCAAGAAGGCTGATTCCCTCTACCCCATCGTTGGAGCAGCCAGTATATGCGCCAAGGTACTTGGGTAATTCTTCAAGCAAGCAAACAAACAAGCAAGTCAGATGACACAAAACCCAGAAATTATATATCCCGAATTGGATTCCATGAAGAAGAGATAGCTCCCTTTATCACAGTCAATGCTGTCAGATTTTATATTGAATTTGTGCAGTTAAATCTGTATAAAGAGACCATCAAAGGAATAGGCTCAAAAGTGGTCTAATAACAGACAAGGGACACCAAACAAATAAAATGTGTGTTTTAGGATTCCCGACCTGGCCTAGATTTTCCAGCCGACCCCTAGACTTTTATCACCTACTTGTACATTTGTACTACCTAAAGTTAATCTTTTAGCCAGACAAAGTTCACAGCCATTTATTCAAATGTACTTTCTTCCTGTTGTAGGAGTCTGACCCTATATTCTTGACAAAACAATTGCCTTTGTAATGTGTGGAAATGCGTTGTAAAATTTGATATAAAGCATAATATTGATTCATGAAAACAAAAAATAATAATAATGAAATTATTTCCCTATCTACCTACCCTATTTTGTTTCAGGCATGTTACATGAAACACTAATATAGTTTTTTGGCTTAATTAATGTAACACTATTCTGTACACAGGTATGTCGAGACAAGGCCGTGAAGAGCTGGGTATTCTCCGAGGGTATAACAATGGCAGAGGACACAAGTTATGGCTCAGGGTATCCCGGAGGTCAGTGTTCATCGTAACTTTTTATCGTGTGGACATTTTTCAGCAGTTCTTAAATATAACCCTTTCACCACTGTAGACCATAATGGACCCCTCCATATCAATGCATGGTAGAGTCTATACTAAAGTTACATAGGGGTGAAAGGGTTAATAAGATAGTTTAACAGTCATCGTAATAATGTGTAACATGCATTGAAGAGTTAGATAAAGTGAAAATATTGGATATTGAATAAGTATACGATGTACCTTATTTCACTTGAGCCTTTAAGATTGTTTCGTTCTGTAACATCAATCAACCTATCTTACCATATTGCACATATGGGCACGTATTATCACACAATGGGCCGATCAATTGTTCATCACACAGTTGTGCGCACCATTTGCGGACAATGTGCACACAGTAATTTTGGTGCATTATGCAATCCCACAACTGTATATATACTGTTGATAAAAAAAAATGTTGAAAAAAAAATTGCCTCTGCAATATTTCTATTTGTGCTATAAATGTCCGAACAAGATATTGGAGACTTTGATTTAGAATTTTTGTTACTATATCATAATACATTATCATCAAAATAAAGGTCTGTTTCATCCTACAGCAATGTATTTCAAAGTACAGTTTCAGCTCTTCCATTTTGTTCAAATTCCAAACATGAATTCCACATCTCAATTTTCTATTGTAAGCCTAGTACATTGTAATAGCTGGTGGTATTGAAAAGTGACATGACAATCAATTTATCATTTCAATGTAAAAAATGCATTCGATCCAATTCCTGATCATAAAAATGACACTAATATTATAAAATTCACTTTGCTTCATTATGGTTTTTTTTTGGTTTTTTTTTTGGTTTTTTTCAAAGGAATCAGTTTTGAAATAATTTATGTTTACCAAAATTGAAAATGTTTACAGCGGTTGATATGTTTCCTTTGATAATGAGAAATTTAAATTCTCAATATTTTGTGATTTATTGGCAGATCCCAACACCAAGAAGTTTATGAATGACAAGTTGGATAAGGTGTTTGGATATCCCCAGTTTGTCCGATTTGGCTGGTCAACTGCCTCCCAGCTCATAGAAAAACAGGGCTATCCTGCAGAGTGGTAAGTTAGCGGAAGAAAGAATGAAATATTAACCTTTCACCACTGTAGACCGTAATGGACTCATCCATAGCAATGCATGGTAGAGTCTACGAAAGTTACATAGGAATGAAAGGATTAAAATCAATTTGATATTTTTCTGTGATTAGGAATAGGAGGGATATAGACAATGGCATTGGTGATTTTATTCCGTTCAACTTTAAACGTATCATCTGTTACAATGTCTCATTTACAGTCCTGAAAAAGGACAAGTATGGATTTTATCAATGTTGTAATAATACACAGGGTAGAAGTCTTAGAGAAGACGAAAGTCGTAAGTTAAATCTTTATTCAAAACTGAAAACCATAGTTACATGTACCAAACTATTCATGTATAGTAGTCTGACTGTCTTTACTGACATGTTCAATTTCGTTTGAAATTTAGAAAGTCAAAGTTAAACAGTGCCGAAAATTTCACTATACACTAGTTTGAAATGTTTTAAAGTAAAATCTTGCTGAATGTCTGGTTCACATATAACCAGATTATACCAGGTTCACTGAAGTCAAGAGTGCACGTTAATAGATAAGTGTATTAAATTCTAATTGCATACAAACTTGTTTTAAGATGATTCATGCTTGTTAGAGGTGTGTGTTATGTTTAAAGATGTTAGTGGTCACCAGTGTAGGAATATAATTTAAATTTCCCGCGGTTCGTAGAATAGCGGGAAATTTAAATTGTAGGTACGTGGCAATCGTATAGGTTGAGAAGCACTTGCGGTTTATAGCGACCCATGAGATTGTTTCGAAAGCGTAGGGCGTGATGGGGTTAGTTTGTTAGGCATTCTAGCTTTTGGTCAGCTCAGGAACGGACCGTTTGAATTCAACATAATTCATTGTAATATAAGGGAAATAATAGCTTGTAACTCTTATATGTATGAAGATCGTGTTTATACTCCATGTTTAGAAATCCCAGCAAGGTAAACCTGAAGCATCGGGCTGGTACACCTCCTGTATCCCTGAAATGGGTTTTCAGGTTGGGTGGCAGGCTTGGTTTATTTAGATAAACATGGTCTGAGAGGGGGAGATTGTAGAGTGTGGGTTACATGTATGATATATATATGTGCATAAACAAAGATTTAAATTAAACGCCGACTCGGTCGTTCCTAAACGCCGAGCAGCTAATTGCATATAAGGAGTTTGTTGTTTATTATACGGAGTAGTAAGTATATAGAGGACCAAGTGGCGGGTCTCACATGTGGTTCTGCAAACTTTACTCTTCCAGAGTGCCTTTGAATTTTTATGTCGGCTATAATTTTGGTGAAGTTTTATGATGCCTTTCCTTTTGTTTTGGTGTCTCCTTACTTCCTGTTGTCATTTCTTCTTGTTAACTTGTTCTTGTAGTTAGTTTTGACAGTTAACATTCAGCAGAGATTAAAATAATTTCGTTGTTGTCATTGTTTGCAGGGAAGATGATGATGACGACGATGATGATGCCTCTAAGAATACTCCAGCCCTGACAGCATTCTTCAGCAAGAAAGGGGAAGACAGAAAAATGCAGAGACATAAATATTTCAAAGACAGATGTTTGGCTTCTATTAGTGAATTATGAAATGAACGTTAATGCTTTCAAAGTTTCTTGTTGTCTTTTGTGAATTAAGAAACATGTGCCTTGTCCATTAAAATATGTTTCTGCTAATCTAGGAAATGTTCCACTGTTAGAGAGGGTTGGTTTTGGTTATTAGTCCCATAACAGTACTACTGAATGGGACTATAGATTACACTCTGCTTACAGTCATTTCATCAGTCAGTTAGTCCTTTCATCACTTTGTCTTGGGCAGATCCCAAATATACTAAGGTCAAATTGCCAAATTTTGCATACTGAAATTAGATCTTGTCCCCTATTGTGAAAGTCTTCAAGATTGGGTTTAAAATGATCCTTGTTTTGGTTTTTATCAGCTCAGTGGCAAAGAAATATTGATAACCTTGATTGATTGATAGGTTTACGTCCGCTTCACTACCGAATAGTTCAGTTATCCAGCAGACGAAGAACAGAAAGGAAAATGAGCAGAAGGGATAAAGTATGTAGTAAAGAGTAGAAGAAGGGGGATAGGTTAGAGAAGGAGCCGTCTATCCTATATATATTTACTGTATAAGTCTTGTTTTTGTAAGACGGCTCCTATGCCTAATGTTGCCTTAACCTAACACTGGTCGTACAGCATCACCAAGTCTGGACCGGAAGTGAGGTACTGTGCCGTTGCCAGCCACACCAGCCCCTGCCTATTCTATGAATTTGGCTTGTATATAAAATTTGGAAGTCCTTCTAAATGTCTTAATAAAGGGACCCTAGTTCTAACGGATTAAAAGTTTGAATAAAGCTGTCTCTATCCTCTGTGTCGGTGTTTACGCGCCTACTCTTTTTCGAAAAAAACAGAGGGTTTCTATCTCAATTTTTTTAGTGAGTATGTGGACGGACATGCTCTTGTATAATACAAGAAAATACCAATTGAATTGTACTTAACACCCAGTGCAACCCTTCGGAGAGTTTTCTGACCATTCCATCTCCATTCAATACTATATAAGGACATTATTATTTTGGACAAGTACCCTAAAATACACATTATCATTACCCTTTGTTAATCCTTTCACCCGTATGTAACTTTACTAGATTCTACCATGCATTGATCTAGATGAGTCCATTATGGTCTACAGTGGTGAAAGGGGTTAATTTTTAATTGCTTTGTCCACGCCATACATATGTATTTGATATACTCGGTCAGGCACAATGATTCAATTTTGTATGCAAATACATCTTTGGATGGGAGTGCCACACTCCTAAATGTATGTATACCTTGCAATAAAATAATTGCCTTATGTAAGATAATATTTCACTGTTATAAAAGGTTCTGGTTATTTTTCCAGTATCAACACAGTACCAACAGAATCAAGATAAAAAGTTCAGAATCGGAAAAATTATTCATTTTCACACAAACAGCTATTCCTGAAATTAATATGTAGGATTTCTTTAGCCTTCCTTTCCCTTGATAGGCCTTGCATGGTTTAAGCAAACTGTCCTCTGAACTGGAATTTCCTATATACAGTAACCTGCCTTCCTTAATTCCGTTTGGATATAACTGTAGCAGTTTGGCTTGGAGACGATTGATCTTTTAAAGCGCTTTAGAGTGGCTTATGTTAGCTAGATATATAGGGCGCTATATCAAATGGTGTATATTATTTATTATTATTATCTTTGGTACCTTGAATATGGATGAAGTTCATTCATTTGAACAAATTTGTGGTAGCCCTTCATCCAAGCATGCTACTGACAAAATATCATCAACCTGGGTTTTCTTCAACCAAGCTCATGGTCACTTTCACAGTGTTAGATTCGTTGTTGCTCGTTGGAAGTTTAAGACAACACAGGAGACAATGGGGTATTGCCGACAGAAAGGGATGTCAATGTTAACACTCAGAATAATTAGTATTTCTTACCAAAGTCCAGCAAGGTCTGGTTTTCTTCTCAGGAAGGATTTGTCTTGAGATGAAAAAAGGTTTGATATTAGTTTTGCATTAACATGTAGGTATAGTTGTACACACCATGTATTTACAGATCTCAAATTAAGGTTACTAGGAAAATAAAATGTATTGCATTATAAATAATATTTAATGAAAACATAAAAAAATGTTTTTTTACTTCTGCTTGTTAGCGTTAAACATCTTTGAGAAGGTAAAACATAATTAATAATTTGAGGTTCTTGTATACCGCTTTGTCACAATCTAGTTCGTAGGTCGTCTCAAAGCGGTTCACACACTATTATCCGTGGTTATATATAAGGCCTTTAAAATTTGCAACCAGCTTATATATTTCTCTACTCACTGGCATGGGGAGCATACAGTCGGTGCTGCCATTTCGACGCTCACAGCTAGCATTCAATCATTCTAGTACTGCCAAACCGCGTACTCATTTACAGCTGAGTAGACTGGAACAAGCGGAGTTGAGTATCTTGCTCAAAAATACAACACTGCCGTGCCGTGACGCGAACCAGCAACCTTTCGGTCACGAGCCCAGCGTCCTACCACTAGATTACAGTGCCTCCTAAAAAGGAATATTCAGTTTCTACTTCTGCTAAGCGTTAAACATCTCAGAGAAGGTAAAACATAAAAAGAATATTCAGTTTCTACTTCCGATAATTAGCGTTAAACATCTTTGAGATGGTAAATACAGAAACATATTTCGCTAATTGGCGTTAAACATCTTTGAGATGGTAAAACAGAACACATTTCGCTAATTGGCGTAAACATCTCTGAGATGGTAAAACATAAAAATATTCAGTTTCTACTCCTGCCAAGCGTAAACATATTTGAGAAGTTAAAACATGAAAAGAAAATTCAGTTAATATTGCTTAGCGTTAAACACACTGGCTGCAGTAATATAAGGAGTCTGACATTCTAGCTATAGCTATATATATATATATAAGTGCTCATGAGTATAACGTACATATGTCGCGGGTTCGAGGCCTACGTATATATACGTTGGGCAGTTTTCCCAGGTACTGGCTGTAGGGTCGGTGGTTTTTCTCCGGGAGCTCCGGCTTTCCTCTAAATGACCATATACTGTAGCTGTGTATACGTATAGGACGTGAAACACAAACAAACCAAACCAAATAAGCGTTAAACAATTCAGTGGCGGATCCAGAGGTTTTTTTGGGGGGCTTCAAGAAACCCCCACCCTGAGATTTTTCTTTAAAATTCATGTATTTCCCCCATTTTCCTCAAACTTTCCCCACATGGAACCCCCCTACCCCAGATAGGTCTCTGGACCCGCCACTGAAAATCTTTGAAGCCTAACTAACCATTCTTACTAGAACTGCTAAATACAATGTATTCATATGTACATTGTACCTATATAGGGTGGTACGATATACGTATACTCTGGTTTCGTTAGCAACACTAGATCACAGTCAAGCCTCGGGCGGTTAGTATGTCCACATACGTTCTACTCATAACATTCAAAGACTAGTTATAGTATACTTTATATAGACGTAGCTTTGATTCGGTAACAACATACATATATAGGGGTTTTGAGTGACAGCATGCACATTTTACGAGCATGAGCTATTTGCTATTACTTGTTATGTAGACAAAACTCCATGGATTTGATACCAGGTAAGAAAAACTAGTCACTTCTTTGATAACGTTAACGTTGCACAAAACGTTCAGCAATGAACACAACTCAGATACATCTGTTTTAAACGAAATGAATTTCAGCTTTATTCTATGCATTCCTTTTTTGTTTGTTTTAATTTTGTTATCTGTTGCCAATTTAAGGCCCAGTATTTTGGGCTCGTATATATCTTTAATTCGTCAGCGGAAAACGGGAGAACAACTTAAAGTGACCACATGGACAATTTCCCTTCCTATTGGTATCAATACATACATCTTTACCTCTCCTACCTATCTTGGGTGTCAATAAAGACTGTTTTCCCTGAAGGACTTATCAAACGCTTGCCTGACTTTTGACAAATAATCTTCATCGGAGGTGTCATTCAGCGAACAACTTTATGGTTTCATGAGGAGATTCCTATCTTCCTATCAAATGAGGTAATGCATTGCTCCCTTCAGGGATACACCTGATCAGATTACCTGTCTCAGCGGTCTTGTTTGGAGAATGTTACCTTGTAAACATGGTTGCTCCAAAACAAATTATGGTCCCTCTGTGTTGTGCATTCCTTCACGGAATAAATTTAATTCCGTGAAAGGAAATATTGGTTCTCTTATTCAGATGTGTTATTTATTTGTTCAGGGAATTGTGGAATAGATTCGGTTTAAAGAAGCAGATTCCAAGTTAATTAGGGAAGCTAAAGGTGTAGAGACGTACATGGGGACTCTTTCACATATTTTATTTTGGATCACGTTTGGACCAAAAAGTGAAATGATATAAAAAAAAAACAAAAAAAAAACAATTCTTAAACTGAGATCAACATTTCGATATAGCGACAAGAGAACACTGAAAACACGTAGTTTGGACTCAATTAAAAAAACCAAGAACAAGACCAGGTATTCCGGAAGAGTAAGCGTCTATGTAAATCTAAGTCATCTAAGTTTTGTAACGTTCTCATAGTGAGAACCAGGGGTAGTGATAACAAACCAAGTTACACCAATTAATAGCGAGCATAATCACAATTATCTATTATGCTGCATGCGTTTATTTGATATTTACTATTTGCATTCATAACTACATTGTATATTATATTATTTATAAAATGTGTATCTAGTTTGATAGGTCAAGTTAATATATTTATATATATATTTACAAAGAAACCAATGTTTATCAGAATATGTTCATGAGATAGTTTGGTATACTTAATTAAGAATAATTGATCTGTTATAGTCCTAAGTTTTAAATGTAAAACATTATAAAGAAATGTTTAGGTACTTTTTACTCATTAACTGTATTTTTAGCCCACCATCAACGCGTTAACGCCTATCGTCCGTGGTCTGCCGCCGGTCCTAAACAAATTCTTGTTATAGCCATTTCTCAGAAAGTGCTGAAGGGATCTTCCTTGGTCCATAGTTGTACGTGTTTACTTTTGTGACTGAATAGATAAACGAATTGGCCGACAGGCGGCCATCTTAGATTTTGACATTTAGAGATTATTATCGCTATTTCTCAGAACGTATTTGAGGGATCTTTCTCGTATTTGATATGTAGGTTCCCCTCGATCACTTATTGTGCATGTTCAATTTTGAGACCGATTAGAGAAACAAAATAGCCGACAGGCAGATGAACTTAAAACGGTGAAGTGCTCTATACCGGCTTAATCGTGTCCATAATATTAATATACGCCTTTGTATGCCTAAAAACTCATTCAGACTGTATACTGATCACGACAACTGGTATTCATATAGTATCTGAAACTATTCTCAAGAATTAATTATATGAAGGGTTCACGTGAGAGGTGTTCGTTTGTTTCGGGCTTGTTGGTTTTATAATTCCTTCCTTTTCTGGCACAAAACGCCAGATAGCTGCTAAATATATAAACTCGTCAGTTAGAAACCATGAAGGAGCAATTTCAGCAGTAGTGTGTGATGAGTTAGATTTATTTAATACGCCTTACGATTGTTACACCTGATTTTTTTTCCAATTCAATTCAGTTTATTCTCTTTATAAAATAGTAAAGAGCAACACAATTACAAGATAATTTACAATACAGATGTTCATAAGGTAAGGCACACAAGCACAATTTAATCAATATTATTCAAATAATTCATATCAAGGAGGACAAATATCATTAAAGATTATTCTTATAAATGCACATAGTTTTTTCAAGGTACGTACATGTTTGGAATTCATCAGCTCCTTAAACTTTAAAATGTTAACTAAGGTCTTATATAATAGAACCTATCTAAATCTAAATATGTTTTTCTGAATTCAGTTAGTGATGGACATTGCAATAGGTAATGAAATTCATCTCCAATTTGCTGGCTGTTACAAAATGTGCAAATTCTATTTTGACGGTCAATGCTATTCCATCTACCGGTCTCGATGATACATTTGTGATTCGTTGTTCTAAATTTGCACAAAACATGTCTTTCGTTATCAGGTAAAAGATCTAAATAATCTTCAAACTTGCACTGTTCTTTAAAAATTTAATATTGCTTTCGATGAATTAAATACATCATTCTCACAATTTTGAACAAATTGGTCATAGAGAATTTGTTTAACATTTAATTTTAACCAGGAAGTATTTAATTCTTCTACGAAATGTGCATTCCAAATGTAAGTTAAGCCACAACCATTTACTATTTGTAGGATATAACTTAAGTATGGAACTGCATTGTTACCATACATTTGATTATGACATAGCATATTATACATACTAACATTTAATTTACATTCTTTGGAATTAATCATTCCTGACCAATACGTTATCATTCTAGATTTCACTGAATAAGATAATGGGCAAGTACATAGTTCTCCATAAACCATATAAGAAGGTGTACTTCCCTTGAGCCCTAACAGTTGTACACGTTCAATAAGTTGTGGGTTTGTATATTCCCAAATCTCACATCCATACAGTAATATGGGTTTAACAGTCTTATCAAATACATCATATATGCACCGAATAGAAAGATTATACAGTCTACCATATTTTAAAATATCGTACATTGTAATATTAGCCTTTTTTTTACATTATATTGTTTTGCTTCATTGAAAGAGC